CACGACAGCTGCTTGATTGGGGAACTGTAACACACAGCAATATTGACTTTTGCGACAACTCCCTCCCTAGCTGCCTGTTTTTACAGGAAACACATAAATATGCGGAAGAAAATAGCACTCTGATTTCCGTTTCATGTGGACTTTGAATTTCACCTTCTGGACCTGGTTTTCAGCTGGTCCACACGTAAGTCTCGTACCTGAGAGCTTTGAATTCTTGCAGTACCATGTTGCTCTTTGACGCTCACGATATACCTTTTTCACAGCAGTCATTTTGACATAAACAGTAGGCTAAAAAGTGTTACCAATAGCTACTAATTTAGGTTCCCTTCCATTAGTGCAGTCTTTCCAGTGAGCCAACATGCACAACAGCAGCACCATTTTATGCCATGCATCGGTGTGTGAATGTGTATGAATGTGTAAGTTTCTGTTCGATGAACTTTGCCATCACTGAGTGAATGTGCGTGAAAGGGTGAATGTGGCACGTAGTGTAAAAGTGCTTTATACAATACCTATACAAGTACAGGTCCATTTACCATTATAAAGCTGTTTTGTCACACCTTTGACCTTTATCATAAAATTGCAGCTTTTCTCAACAAAAACAGAGGCAGTCCTGTGGCCAGTAAGGACAAACACAGTTTGACTGTTTAATGCTTTAAGGCTATAAAAAGAAAAAAACAGCATGCTCAACTCCACACCACTCATACACTGTTTGGATACTATTGTAGCGTAGTAATTATATGATGATAATTCTAATATAATAGTAATAATTACTATTGGGTGTAGTAATGACCTCTTTTGAGTTGTTGGTATCCTTTTAACTCCTGGGTTGTGCATATTTAGCATCTTAAAATAATGTTTTTGTGTTCCTTCCTTTCAGCTGATCATTGCTCTGGTTCCAGCTTCCCTGCATTAGTGCTGTAGGGCAGTAGATTGTTGAACTGTGACACTCCTGCTCCTCCTCAGGTTTGAACACTGTAAACCAACAAAGAACGAGGAGCCGCCAACCCCCCAGACGCTGCCGCTGCCCTCCGTCTCGCTGGTTGGCCCGTCCGATCCAGAACCCAGTGGGCCAACACCTGGCCCAGGGGCCCCAGACTGGGTCAATGCTGCCGAGTTTGTTCCGGGACAGCCATACTGTGGACGGGGTGAGTGACCACATGGAGTTTGATATTGGTACTCATACTGGAAGATAACCCTACATCAATGTGGAATACAGAGGCGCTTCAGTTCCACTCACGCCATGTGAATTTGGGGTTAGGGTACTTTGTTGTTTGCAATTCAAACAACCTTGGGTGTGTTTGTCCATTTGGATGGGTTCATTTAGTTCAATTTAGTGTGTGAACTCTTGCGGACTAAACAACTGGACCAAGAACATGTGACCCGGGAAATCAGGTCCTTTTGTTTATCACTCTTGTTTTGATGACTAGAACTAAAAGACAACAATGTTTTTTCCTGTGGTCCGTACAAAGTCAACTGAACAACAGGCATGAATGCCATCTAGCTCACACTGTGGACTAGAGGTTGACTGATGGTAGAGTTTGGAATTTGGAAAAGCTGATCAAACTGGATCACTGTTATCTAAATATCAAAGTCAAAGTGATATCTAAATGTATAATTAGGATTCTGACTTATCCTCGAAAAACTGGGAAACCTGGAAATTTAGAGACTAGTTTTACAGTCATGGAAACACCTGGAAATTGATTACAATTACCAAATATACTGGAAATAATCTATATTATCCTGGAAAATGTAAATAGTATTTTCTGACATTCAGATTCTGTAAACCTAGGTGTGTATTTTGTTAGAAACTCAACTGTTGGTAGGATAATCTGCGCCCTATGACACTTCAAAGTGGGTTTACCAGATGCAAAGCAGATCATTTCAGCTCCCATGTCAGATAAGAGCTTTTCACACCACTTGTAGCAACTTTGGTCGTCAGGTCTATTCTGGAAATGCTGTAGATGGTCACAGCAAGCCTGTTATTCATGATCAAATTTGTCATTGTGGTGTATGTGTAACAAACACTTTCTACCTATTCTTTTGATAGGCTAATAGGTTAGAAGTTCAATTTTCTGTCAAATAAAATTCATTTGGACTGTTAGTCAAGTTCAAATCAAAATCAAGTTTGCCACAAGAGTGTCCAATAAATGCTGACCACCATTGTGAGCAAGTGATGTCCTGTTTTGTCAAGAAAGTCTTTTTTTTTTATTTTTTTTTTTTTAAAAAGAGTGGGAACCCTGATAAATGTATATATCTGGAACTGGACATCAAACTAAGCATAAAAAGTCTGTAAATTCAGTTGAGAAGCCAGATTTCATGATAGGATGTGCAATAGCGGTTTGACCAGGAGCTGGGGAGTTTAAACTGCAAGCCTCAGTGCTCCATTCTGATCTGTTGCTCACATCTGCTTTTTAATCTTTTTAGTTTGGCTGTTCACAGTTTTGAAAGTTCATCCACTGTCACATGGTCTTAAAATGCAGAGCAGTTAAAATTCTGACTTCATTGTCAAGTTAAAGGTTGGATAAGTTGCATTTTGTCTGTACATAAAAGGAAAAAAAAGTTGAGTGCTGAAAGGAAGGTTAAGATATAGAAGTGTTCTCAGATCAGATTCTCCTCATTTATGTAAGCATGTCAGCAGGCACAAAATAGATGTGTGTAAAAATATTTCGGTGTGTGTGCAGCTGAGCCAGTGAAGGTGGAGAGCTCTGTCCCCCTCATTGAGGAGTTTGACAGTGACGCAGCACCGGATAACAAAGAGCTAAGGAAACAGCTCTGTCCGTATGCCGCGGTCGGAGAGTGTCGCTACGGAATCAACTGTGCCTATCTCCACGGCGACGTGTGTGACATGTGCGGCCTCCAGGTGCTCCACCCCACTGACAACAACCAGCGCTCAGACCACACTAAGGTAAGGGTTACAGAAACAACCTGCTGGTGGGGCATCATTAACCATGCTGCATTCACTGTCACACTGGCTGGAATTTAAAACACAAATCCAAGAAATGAGTTATTTTTTTTTATTCCTTCTTACTGTATCAGATGTATTTTTTCAATGTATTTATTCCTTCTGCTTTGTGGATCTGTAAAATATCTACATTTCCCCCTTATTTTCCATAAATATGTCACCCTTTTTACATATGAGAGTTACCACTTGGAGTTAACGACAGGCCAGACTTCAGATTTGTTGTCGTGGTAACCTTTCTGTAGGGCAGCTGCAACTTGAAAGGCCAGCAGACTGTACAAGTCCTAAAACCGATGTGTCAGAACTCAGGCACTTGCACAGTTGGAACTTTAATTTTCACTCTGATATGCAGCGCTAAAGGAGAGCAGCACTGCAACACTGGCAGGCCGTGGTGGACAGAACAATGTACAATACAGTAAAAAAGGATCAGCACGTCTCTAGCTGCCACATATTATTTTTAGTCTGATAATTTGGTGGCATGATTATCTGCTTAGCCTGACTCAGTTTACTGTTAGAATGTTGATGTGAATACTGAATTTGGTCAGATCATTACAGGCCTTGTATTCTCTCAGCTGTTGGTAGATGCTGCCTTTCCTCTGATGCATTACAGGATGCCCACAGTTGCTTGGAACGCTGGTTAAATGCAGAAACGGTTGTGGCGTGTTATCTAACTGTTCCCTCTTCCTAGGCATGCATCGAAGCCCACGAGAAAGACATGGAGATTTCATTCGCCATCCAACGCAGTAAGGACATGATGTGCGGCGTGTGTATGGAAGTGGTGTTCGAGAAGGCCAACCCGAGCGAGCGCCGTTTCGGCATCCTCTCCAACTGCAGCCACTGCTACTGTCTAAAGTGCATCCGCAAGTGGAGGAGTGCCAAGCAGTTTGAGAGCAAAATCATCAAGTGAGTCACTTATTGCATTGTCGGTTTTAACATAGAAGGAATTTGCCTTGGTATATTGGTGCATAACAATGAGCATAGAAAAATATAAAGAGAGACAATATATACAAAAATGAAAAGAGACATATACAGTGCTGTGAAAAAGTATATTAGACAAAGACAACTCGAGTAAATACAAAATGCAGTTTTTAAATGATGATTTCATTTATTAAGGGAAAAAATCTATCCAAACCTACCTGGCCCTATGTGAAAAAGTAATTGCCCCCTAAACCTAAAAACTGGTTGTGCCACCCTCAGCAGCAACAACTGCAACCAAGCGTTTGCGATAACGTGCAATGAGGCTTTCA